TCGGGTCCAAACCGGGTCGCTTCGCTCAGGCCAGTCCGCGTGGTGGTGTTGGTGGTGCGCGAGGGCGGGGTCGGGCGAGGTGAGGGTAATGTTCCGGTTACGGGCGCGAAGGGGTCAGCCAGCAGCGCCTGTTAAACAGAGCGGGGGGAAATGGTTTGGTAATAGAAGAGGCGATGGTAATGGTGATGGCGATGGTCATTGCGAAGGCCGCCGGTCGGAGCGGCGAGGGTGCGCGGGAGCGGATAGAGCCGTCGCGGTGGCAGTAGCAGCAGACAAGAAGGGGGCGGGTGGCGGCTGCGGACACAGTAAAAACAATGTTGGCATGATCTTTTAAGGAAAATGATACAATTTTAAGGAAAAGTCCTCAGATTTTTTTCAAGGAGTCTCCACAGAATGATGTGGGAATTTCCCACATTTTTTTGATAAAATTTCTCACACTTTTTGACGAGATAAAAGATTGTCAAACTGAAAAAATTCAGACAGTTTATTTTTTCACCGTGGGGGTGGGGAGAGTGTCGGCCGGTCGGTGGGCGTCGTCGCTTCATGGCAGTCTGGGGCGTCGTCAAGGAAGGCCACCGCCGCGCCTAAAGCGAGGGGAAACTGGCGCGCGGAAGCAGAGGGAAGTCCCCCGTTTATATGCCAGGAGGAGGAGGATATAGATAGAGCAGCACCGCGCGCAGACCTGAGCCGCCGTGGCCTCTATCTCTATTCCTCGCCTAGCTTGTCTATTCCCTCTCTCTCTCTATTGCCCGCATACTCAACCCCCCCCCCCCTCTCCCCTTCCTCTCTCCCACCAACTCCAGCCGGAGTCACAATGAAATCGCGTGGAAGGCGGCGCGGTGCGTTCATCGCGAATTGAGACGTGACGCGCTGAAGCTATCGTCGGCACGACTCCCCCCACCCTCTCTCTCTCTCGCTATGCGCGCCGCTCCGCCGTCTGCCCGAGGCGCTCGGTGTCATTTACGTCGCTAATTGTTGCCGTATTTATGGGAGGGATCACTTCTGTCTGCACGGCCGGCCCGTTCCCGTGGGGGGTCCGCGCCGCGACGAACGCGCGCGCACCACGACTGTCTCTACGCTGAGAAAAATAATGAAATACCGTATAACGAATTGTTAGTAATGGTCTTCATATTCATTAATATATCTGAAATATCCTAGAAACATAAATGTTATATGTAGTTCTTTGGATTTTTTAAAAGTAATATTTCGATATTTCGATTTTCCTAATTATGTTTATGTAAATTTTGTTTTAGACGGCCCAGTCAGTGTATGGTTTACAAATAAAGCTATTCACACGGTGATCACTATCGCTTTCAAATCAGAGGATCTATTGCCAGGCCGGGCCATTCATTGCCTGCGGAGAAACTGGAAAGCTCAACTGTTGGTGTTTAGCGTGGGTCGTTCGTTGGGCGTCGCGGCGGTATACGGTAACTCACGAGGCGCCGAGCTCATCCCGGGCTCCCCCCGAGATATACGACAACCCGCAGGGCCCTGGCCGTGCTTGGCCCCTCCCTTGCGCCGGGGTCGCGATCTGGACCGCCGAAACGTTTAGTGGGGAAAAAAAATGAGGTACGGTATGTAACTCGGTCCTTTACAAGCTACCGTCTGTCTCTGTCCGCCTTTGGCGCCGCCTCCTTACTCTCTCGGTGGGTGGGGGGAAAATCGGTAGGGAGCGTGCCTCCTTCTACCAGTAGCAGAGGAGCTGCTGCTTGCTGCACCAGGTTGTTGTTTTGTGTATGATAAATAGAGCGTAATTGAGGCCGTTGTCAGTGATTCGAGGAAATCCCCTCCTGGAAGAAGCATCTTCTCCTCGATGAGCCGCTGCTGCAATCTAACGTGTCGGCGCGATGGTCTCGTACAGTAGTTAGTGGCCCTCCCCGTGCGGTGTGGTGGGAGTACATCGTGTTTTGATGGGCTCGACTGCGGGCCACCCAGACTGCACCGCCCGCAGGTCGGGGGGAAGGGAGTGAGGGGGGCTATTTGGAAGGGCGTAAGGGCAAGGTATCGTCCATGAAAATAAAAAATCACCCGCAGTTGTTTGTTGTCCCTTAATTTTGTTTTTGCTTGAGTAAAATACTACGATAAAGTAAGAGCGACGATGAAATCCGATTGGCATTACCAACAAGCTGAGGATTCACCTGTCTGAACCTAAAAGTGGTGGTGTCTGTCTCGAATTCCTCACCTCCCCCGGGCAGTGTACACCTATGAGTGTACCTGCTGGGGCCTGAAGGACCCTGTGCAAAGGACCCCGAGCGTGGTCCCGGGCGTTGTAAGACGAGCCCGGATCCAATCCGAGATCGTTAAAGAGTGTGGACAGGGCCCCGGAACACGGGACCGCCCTGGACGACGCGCCCGGTCCACAAAACAAGAATAAAAACAGACGCGCTGTGTACCGACACGGCCTCTTTCAAGGCACCCTTTCGGCCAGCGCATATTTTATTTCTTTGGCCGGCCAAGGCGGAAATAACTATTCCACTCATCGAGGACGCCGATGAAGACGCCGCAGGGCCGTTTTCCTAATGAATGAATGAATCTTTGCGATGGTGCTTTGAGATATGGACCGGGGCTGTCACAGTGTGCGCGCAGTGCATCATCATTCGCCATGTTGTCACGGCCGGGAGCGGTATTTTAATCAATTGGCGCTGAGGCTGAGCCGTGAAATGGACGCACTCGGTGGTACATACCAGCGGACCTCTCTCCTCTGGAGTGAGTACCCTTTCCTGCTGGCTCCGTACCTCGTACTCTGTCAACGAGGAATTTTGCAAGGTTGCGCGTGCCTCTTATTGATGATCAAACCCGAACTACGATACCAAATTAAATTATCATGGTTATAGTAAAAATATCGTGCCATTCATTTTCTGTAAAAGGAATCATAAGTGAGGCACGTGCCGGTTGCGGCACTACGTAAGGATGTGCAAAATGTTGCGCTGTTCGCACCTGCTGCTGCTGCGGAGGCTGTCACAAATCGTTTTATTTTCACCCTATAGACAATTTCACGGTCCGGAAATTATCGGAGGAAACGTTTTATGGCATGAGCGCACGGGCTCGTCGCGGGCGGCGGGTGGAGATGGCGGCGGTAGGTCCCCTCCGGGGCATCCGTCCCGTGGTGTGTTGCGTTTGTATTTACACTGTCTGTGAATGGGCAGGGCACATAGTGTGTGAGGTGCTAAGTACAATGCCTGGCGGGGGCCTCGCGGCACGCACTAGCACTGCTTCCTGCCCAGGACGCAGCCAGGGCTATAAAAATTCCGAAGAATTTCAGTGTGTGTGTGTGTGTGTGTGTGTGTGTGTGTGTGTGTGTGTGTGTGGTGTGGTGCGAGAATATAAGCACATATTGTGTTGTGCTTCAACTGCAGGCGTATTGCTAGCAAAATAAAAAAATAGAACCCGGAAAATCATGATAAGTTTATTATTGGTAACCTGTTGTGTGTATGATGACAATGACATACATTTTTCAACAGATTTTTGGAGCATTTTTATTTTTGTTTCGTTAATTTACAGTGCTTATTTGCGCACCGGCTGTCCATCGTGCGGCCACAACCGTCACGTTTTTGGTGGTTTTGGCGTTTCGCGCATCGGCCAGAACTAATTATCGTCGTGTGACGGGACACGTGACGGGACACGTGTTTGTCTCTGCGACGACATGTCCCGCGGCCTCTCATTACACTGCACGCCTGCGCCTGCTGGCCCGTGCTCGGGTGTTTGCGGAGGCAGGAGCGAGAGAGAGAGAGAGAGAGAGAGAGGGAGAGAGAGCGATCGAGAGAGAGAGAGAGAGAGGCAGGCTTGACTGCCCTAGTTTACCCCGACCCCGGTGTGTTTCTCCCTCGACGCGAAAAGCAAACAACGACAACCCAAGCCGACAGGAAGGAAGGAAATGAGCTTTCGGTGCTCTAGAATTCGATCACACAGAAACGGACCCGTTTTATCTTGTGACAGCATCCTACTGCTTTCTTTAGAAACGGCTGGCTGGCTGCAATGTACAACGTTAGTTCCTTCTCGTACAATATTGACATTAGTCTTCGAGTATTGGATGATGTGACCGTTATGCGATGTACCTCTGATGTACAGTACAGGGCACCGTATCATACATTTCGAGAACAAACAACAAAAACAGCAGCAGCATCAACTCGCGCTCGATTATGCACGTGATCTGATTTTTCTTTTCCGTTTTGATCGTCTTGCCCGTCCCATACTGTGCACCCACGTATACGTCTCGCCCCGCGACACGGCAGACCACATCATAACGGCCGGTAACGGTCGGTGCCGCCGCTGAGGTTTTGTGTCCGGCTCATTGCGACGTGACTGGCGGGGATGAACCGGACTGACCTCAGCCGGCCGTGCCGCTGCGTACCGACCGGGTACCGACTGGGCGAGCGCGGAAATAATAGCGGAAACCTTATTATTGGCAGTTGCCTTTGGCACCTGTACCTCTACCCACTCATTCGCACGCGACCACCGTCGTCGTCGTAGAGTCACCGTGTGCATGCACCTTGCACTCTCCGCGTGTGGACTCTCTCGTGTCAATGGCGTATGTTATTGGCAGCGAGGTACCTATCCACTCTCGCGCATGCCAAAAAAAGATCGTTTGCGAAAGCGGCTAGAAAAAAAAATGCCTCCGTTTTCGTTTTTTTTCTTGTGTCGGCAAATTTTCCGGCTTCGAATTTTATTTTGTTTTCGGCAGGGAAAAAATGAGTAAATGTTTGGCACCCTCTTATGTAACGACAAAACTATTTGTTAGCCGACGAATTTTTAGCAAACATTCTTTCTTGGCGTGCGCCATAGAGTCATCATGCACCGTGCACTTGTTTGATTTTTGTGTGTTTTTTTTTGGTTTGGTTTTTGGTTTGACTCATTTCGCCAATAAGCGGAATGTGAGGGATTGAGGCAGGTGCTAACAGACAGCAGCGTTATTCGTCTCGCGATGACATCACGACGACACGTCGCACGTGTGGGGCTCGTGTGCAGTACTAACCTCCGATCGCTCATTCTGTGTGTTGCAGCCCGACGGGGAGTCCCAGAACCATGTGTTCCGTGCCAAAGTGTTCAAGAAGCCCCGGCCCTGCCACCTGTGTCATCAGCCCATTCACCAGCTGGGGAGCTGCTGCCGAGGTGAGAACACACGCGCACAGCAGAATAGTGTTGTGTGTGTTTTTTTAAATATTATTATTATTATTATTATTATTATTATTATTATTATTATTATTATTATTATTATTATTATTATTATTATTTGTCTTTTCCGGTGAACACAATGTGCATGTGTCCGCCCTTTTACGTAAGGTCGTTATCACGTTTGCTGCAAAAGCTACCGTGATTCGCACAGAGTTGTAGTGTGTGCGCGCCGCGAGGGATAATAACCCCACACACACGCCCCAGCAATAATTCCTTTTACTCCCTTGCAATGATGTTTGCGAACTTCTCTGTAATGTAATTGCAGACTGACTAACGAGGCCCTTCTCCGCTTCCCCGCGCGCCTCCCTCCTCCCGACGACGTCGTCACACGGCTAACTTTGTTGCTTGTTGTTGTTGCAGTGTGCAAATACGTGTGCCACAAGGCGTGCGAGAGCAAGGTAAGAGGCCAGCTTAAATACCAGTGAGGCGCCTGGCTTAACAATGGGAAGCCTCTCTCCTCCTCCTTTTTTCCCTGCAATGTAAATGACCCCAGCAGGAAGCCATTGACAGACCACCACCGCCGCTGCTGCTGCTTCTGCTGCTGCCGTCTGGGGCGTTCCTCAAATACGTCTGCCTCGTTGAGATTCTTGTCAGCAGCAGCAAAACCCTCCCATGGCTGGCGCAACTCGCAAAGCCGCCCACGAGCGCGCACGCCAGTCACTCATTTTTCTGGCGCTCTGTTTGAGTGCGACCTCCGCTCCCTCCGCTGGCCGTCGTGTTCGCAAAAGTAACCCACGGCTAGCTGTATCTCTGCTACCGCTGAGCTGCTCTCGCTCTTGATTGAAAGATTATCCTTGCTGCTGTATAGCCATCGGCGACTGTTATAATATATGGGCTACCGATCTTACGACCTCTTTTGACGCTCTGACGTTATACACTCTAATAAAAATCAGTACAAAATTCTGTAACATTGTTACGCAGTAATTTACATATCACATGTTACAGAAATTTGTATCATTTTTGATACAGATTTTAATCTGTAACATGGATACGAAAATCTGTATCACGTGATACAGAATATCTTTGGGATTTTAAAATTGTAATTCTTCATTTTGTTACTCTTCCTCCCTTTTCCCCTCTTCTTTTTATCTAGGGGACTTAACTCCTTAGATTTCGTTTCAAGTAATGTACCTTGTCGCTCCGGGAGTTGAACCCCAGACCCTTGGATTAGGAAGTCACGCCTTTACCCGCGCGGCCACCTAGGCTACCTGAGGAGAGGTTCGCTGGAACCCGGTGTAATGCCACCGGGGCTCCCGGAGACCGCGCCTACGAAGTTCCATAATTCTGTATCCAGGGATACAGAAAATTGTATCCAACGTTACTTGATCTTGTATCTGTTACAGAAATTAGTAAAATTTACGGAATTTTGTAACATTTTGATCAGATTACAGAATTTTGTACCCATGTTACATGTTTCCATATCACGAGAGCCTGATACAGAATTCTGTATCAAATTTGATACAGAATTCTGTATTATTTTTTAGAGTGTAGTGTACATGTATGTGAAATGAAAGCATTGCGTACTGCACAACTGAATTTATAGAAATGTATCATGTATATACTGTCCAGTGCAGCTCGCGGGAGTTGTGGCGGCGGCGAGGGGGCCCTTTCCTTGTCGCCTCACCGCACTCTCGCTGCTGTGTTGGACACCTTGCATACCTTGAACTCGCGCGAGGGCGCGTCAATCGGTGTGTGTGTGTGTGTCTGTCTGTCTGTCTGTCTGTCTGTCTGTCTGTTCGATGCGGTACTACATGGTGTGGGTCCCACCCTCGACGAGGGCAAATATACCGCGACCGCTCCGCATCGCGCATCGCATCCCCCTCCGGGGCGACGACGCCCACCACCCCGCGGCCGCGCGCCGTGCCCTCGCGGCTATAACGCTTTGCGCTGCTATACGCCTCTCTCTCTCTCTCTCTCTCTCTCTCTCTCTCTCTCTCTCTCTCTCTCTCTCTCGACCGTTCAATTAGCATAGCTCACGGGCTCGTCGTCGTGCGTTATTGTGGCTAAGCTAAAGCCGAGTTAGCTACATAGCGCGGCCCCGATAGAACCTCCCCATGTCGTGCCACGCCATCAGCCCGCGGGCGCTTGTACGCGCTGCATGGGCGCTCTCTATCGGCTCGCGCTGGGCGCTGCGCATCGAAAGGGTACAGAGTAGAGGCTTCGTCGTCGTCCTCGTCGGCGGCGTCCTCGCGTCGTGATTGGCCGGGGGTAGAGAGCAGAGCTGCTGTCCCCCTGGGGGTTATGCGCTGTTTGGCTCGGACATGGGCAGTTAGTTGTGGCGGACGTCAGCGCGCAGGGGGTATGGGATGGGTGGCATCCGGGGGGGGGGGGGTATTTGACGCTCCAGCATGTGAGAAAGGAGGGGGGGGGGGACCGCGCGCCACCCGTACGCAAATTGGTGCAAGTTGTTTCGGTCGAAGTTTTACACCCAGAAAAATAAAAAGTTGTAGCAACCAGCGTATGGTTACTGCAGGGACAACCATAAAATATGGTTGAGGCAACAATAGCACAGGTGTATCAACCAAAATTACGGTTGTCACAACTGGCGGATCTTTGTCTAAAATATATTTTATGGTTGTCCCCGAAGTAACTATGCGATGGTTGCCACAACTTTTCATTTTTCTGGGTGTCCGCACCAGTATAACAAATCAAGTTTGGGGATAGTTTTTCCAGCAAAAAAAATTGACTTCCGACAGGTCACCACAAATCTATTTAATACCTCTAGATTACTTTTTTTCAATGTACCAGTTGAAATGAGCGTTATGCCTTGCGCACAACAGCGTAGTGTAGTAGTGTGTACGCTATTCTATGGAAATGATGTCGCGTCCGGCAGTATCGTGGCAGCCCCCATTGGCACACGATATTGAGGCTGTACTACGTACACGTGCCCCGCGGGCACCGGCGGCGGCCAGCCTGCTCAGCCTCAGCCTCTGCCGGCGCGCAATTCCAATATTGATGTAAACCCCTTGGTGGTGCGCGCGCGTTGCGGGGCCGTGATGGTGGTGATGGTGGTTGTGGTGGTGGTGGTGGTGGTGGTGGTGGTGGTGGTGGGTGGTGGTGGTGGGCAACCAAAGGGCCGCCCGCGCCGCCCCGCCACGACGTGAAATGCGACTTAATTAAAGACAGTTATTGCCGGCCTCGCCAGAGCGAGAGAGAGAGAGAGAGAGAGAGAGAGCGAAAGGAAGAGAGAGATGGGCAGGAGGGAGTGTGCCGGTTGGCCCCAAGATGGACGGCCCTGCAGGGAAATACCAAACATCCCCCAGCCCGTAGTTGTTGTTATTAGCGAGCTTGACGGCCCCGTGTTGTAGCAGCTCCATAGCCGCATAGCCGCGCGCCCCGCTGTGTGCTGCAGTGACCCCCCCGACACGACGAAAGGTTCCACCACACTCACTGATGTCATTTTGCGCTCAATGAATCAATCTCTGTACACGCGGCAGCAAAACCGTGCCTTACCGCACGGACCATTATTTGAGATGTATAACATTCTGGTCCAAAATATCCCACCTATAAACACACCTCACAATTTTGGGCGCAAATTGTGCAAAAACGTCACTCTCCTCCCGCAGCAGTGCCTTGTTCGCTGTCGGCCTGGCGGCCACCGGTCGGTGCCGGCCGCCGTCATTGAGGTAGGTCCGGTTCGTTCGCACGGCTGAGGTCCTTGATTCGCAGGACCGCGAACGAGAGGCTGTTATGCAAACGAGCTCGCCCCCAACCCCTCCCCCCCGGGAGCAAGGGGGTGGGGCGCGCGGGTGGAAGCGAGGAGGTGAAGGGGGGCCACGGCTTTTGCTAAGGCTTCAATTTCCGGCAGCGGAGGTCCGCCCAGCCCGGCTTTGCCCGGCAATGGCGCCGTGCTTCTCCGCTGCTGCCCGCGCGCGCGCTTCGGGGGGAACAACCCTTCGCTGTCCACGTCACTCTTTGACATTGCTCATCTTTTCGTGTTGTCAACTTTCTTAAGTCTAATTTTTGCAAAGTTTTTCTTTGTCAAAATTTTCAACGCTATACTGATGAACTTATCGGACCGTTCTTTCCTAAAAGCCATAGCGCTCGCTGCCGTGGCCTCTTGTTTCTGCTGCTTGTTTGACGTTGTGGTCTTTTCTCTCCTCCGTCGCGGTCGCCCCCTCCGGCGCCAAACAACGCGGGCCAGTGACACCTCGTCACCCGCTGGGGCACTGGGCTGTCGTGTGCTGCTGT